GGGCAGGGGCGAAGGGATCCCGGGGCGCCGGTCTTTGGGCCTCCCTGAAAGGCTCTTTCCTCCCGCAGCTCGAAGCCTAGCTGGGCCGACCAGGTGGAAGAAGAAGGAGACGATGGTGAGTCTGGTCCGGCTGACCAAGAGCCGCCTCTACACCCCTCCCCCACTCCCTCTGGTCTGGCGTTTCCCTTTCTCCTCCTCCTTCCCTTCAGCCTTCCTCGAGGATCTAGCCTGATCTCTGCCCCTTCCCCACAGACAAGTGTGTCACCAGTGAGCTCCTCAAGGGGATTCCATTAGCCACAGGAGAGCCCAACAGTGAGCCAGAGCTACTACCGGGTGGTGAGTACCCCAACTGCGTGTGTGTGTGTGTGTGTGTGTGTGTGTGTGTGTGTGTGTGTGTCTGTCTGTCTGTCTGTGTGTCTGTCTGTGTGTCTGTCTCTGTCTGTCTGTCTCCCTGGAGGGAGGGTACGGTTTTGTTATGATCTGGGTCTCCATCTATTCTTTTCCTTGGCTGTTTCGTTTCCAGCTCCTCTACCAGCCCCCAAGGAAGTCATCAACGGGAATATTAAAACCATCACTGAATATAAGGTAGAAGAAGATGGCAAGAAGTTCAAGGTGGGCTACACTGGTTTCTGGATCCCTTCCTACCTTTTTCTTGTCTGGCCTTTGGGTCAGACAGGTTTGGGGGCCCCCGTGAATGAAAAAAAATTTGTGGAATGTACTAGACACTGAAGATGCAAGTACAACAGGGATACAGTTCTTGTTTTCTAGGTGCTCTTAACGTGGGAGACCACATATATAGGCCAGTGGTAGCATATATGCCTTTATAAAGGAGTGTTTTGATCTGAGAAGTTATAGGGTTGGTATTCGAAATCATTGCAGAGTTAATGACACATTTTCCAGTAGCGATGAAAGTATTGATTTGATTATCCTACCTAAAAGAAGAGGTAGATGTGACCAACCCACTAAATGGATTCTTCCCCAATCCCTCTCTTTTCTTGTCCATTTTACAGATTGTCCGTACCTTCAGGATTGAAACTCGGAAGGCATCTAAGGCAGTTGCAAGAAGAAAGGTGAGAACCATTTTGGGGTTGGATAAATTATCTTCTTTCCATATCTTTTTTTTCCAAGGCCCTCCTTGATGTTCTCTTGTTCTCTTGCATTAGCTCGTCATAGTAGATAGCCTGAAACAATGGAAGGAGTGCTAGACTTGAAGTCGGGAGAGACCTAGGTTCTAATTCTGACCCTGACACTTAGCAGCATACATTCCTGGGCAAGTCATTTAACTTTTTTGGACTTTAGTTTCTTCATCTTTAAAATGAGTATAAAAAAGCTCCACCTGACTCACAGAACTGTGAGAAAAGCTCTTTGCAAACCTTAAAAATCTACATAAATGTGAGTAGTTGGATCTAATGATTTTACACATATTTTTTTTTGGGGGGGGGCGCTAGGCAATGGAGTTAAGTGACTTGTCCAGGGTTACACAGCCAGTAAGCGTCAAGTGTCTGAGGCGAGATTTGAACTCAGCTGCTCCTGACTCTAGGGCTGGCGCTCTATCCACTGTGTCACCTCGCTGCCCCTACGTGTACTCTTAAGCGAGGAATAGTGAGGACTCCTAATGCTTTATTGGTTTTTTTCTGGGCCATGTATTTACTTAGGAAAGGACGTTTTCTTGGAATTGGGAAAAGTTTGGGGATCAAGAACTAAATGAGTGAGGGAATAAATGAATAAATAGGAGGAATAGATGTGAGAATGGATTCAGAATATGAATATTTTTCCAGTCTGGAAAGATGAGAGCTATGAGGAGGCTGGGTCCAAAGCTAAAATATTTGGGGAAGGGAAAACATAAAAGCAGGCAGACTTAGCAGACAAGGATGGCCCATGGTAGGGATAATTTTGTAAACTCACTGTCTTAAAAGTATGTATTGAATTCAATTCAGTTCAACATATTTTTACTAATTACTTCTCACTCAGAAAACAGGCTGATTAGTAATATATCTCCTTATTTGTTCCTTTAGTGTTTTAAGATTAATAAAGTGCTTTGTTCACTTTGTTTTCCCTCCACCTGAAAAGGCTGTTTTGTTGAGGAAGGATTAGACTTGATTTTCTGCAAGGAGGGGAGGGAAGTGGCAGAAAGGAAGATCTTGGTTCCATCTGAACTGCTCCATGTGGGCTACCACAGGAGGTCAGGAGTTTCTCAGAACTGGAAATCGGTGACAGTTTAGGGATGTAGTAGGGAAAGGTTTTGGTACATACCTCTTGATGGCTTTCAGCTTCTTAAACTTCCCTGGGGAAGCTTCACAAAAACCCCATTATGATGGGTTATCCAGCTAACCTGCCTTGTCTTGTTCTGACCCAATGACTTTTCCTTTCCACAGAACTGGAAGAAATTTGGCAACTCACAGTTTGATCCCCCTGGCCCAAATGTGGCCACCACTACAGTCAGCGATGATGTTTCTATGACATTTATTACCAGCAAAGAGGTAATTCATGGGTGCAGGATCTGGGAAAGAGGTCCTAAGGGTGGGTTAGAAGCAGTCCCCTCAGGGCAGAGCATTTCCAATCTCAAGCTCACTTCCCCTCTCCCAAGGACCTGAATTGCCAAGAGGAAGAGGACCCAATGAACAAGCTGAAGGGGCAGAAGATTGTGTCATGTCGAATCTGCAAGGGTGACCACTGGACAACACGTTGTCCCTACAAAGATACACTGGGACCTATGCAGAAGGAACTGGCTGAACAGCTAGGGCTATCCACTGGGGAAAAGGAGAAGATGCCTGGAGGTTTGGAGATGGTGCTTGGGCTGGTGGGCATGTGGGAATGTCTCTGTAGGACTTTTCATTGGGGTGGCTTGTGTAACTTTGTGAATGTCACTGTTTTGGGGCCACAGAAGTTTGGCTCTGGGGGGAAAGGGAAGCTTCAACAAGATGGGAGTCTCCTTGGTGGGATTCTGGTGGAAGCAGCTTATCATGGCCTTCAAAACAGCTGGGTGGGAGGTTGGGGCAGGCCCTGGGCCATTCTCAGCCTATGTTTACTCCCACAGAGCTGGAGCCTGTGCAGGCAGCCCAGAGCAAGACAGGGAAATATGTACCCCCAAGTCTTCGAGATGGAGCCAGTCGCAGAGGGGAGTCTATGCAGCCCAACAGGAGAGGTATGGAAGGGACCCTAGGAGCAGGGTTGGGCTGGGCTGAGGTTAGACTGGAAGTTGATTGTTAAGAACTTAGAGTTTGTGGAGTCCTTTGCATAGAGCCTAGGGGAAAGAAAGTGCCCTAGGATGGGACATGGTCCCTACTCTCATGAGGCTTACAGTTTAGTAGGGAAATAAGATGCTAGTACAATGTTATTTTGCAGTTGAATTAGTGAGTTAAAAAATAAGTATCCTATGTGAGGTCTGAGGGAGCAGCTCATCTGACTGGGCTGTCAAGGAAAGCTTCCTAGAAGAACTGGCTTTTGACTTGGGTCTCAAAGATGAGCAGAAGTCCATCTGATTGGAGGAAGGAGAGCACTGCTGGCATAAAGAACAAAAGGCTCGGTGCCTGGAGAATGCAGTGCCTGGGCAGGGTCAGTGTAGGCCAACTCAGTTGGAATAACATGAGAAAAGGTCAACAGTGTGGGCATCACCTGTTTCTAGAGTGCCTTTGATGACAGAGAAGTTTGAACTTGACTCAGTATTGAGCCACTGAAGAAAATTTTTTAAGAATGGATTGATTGATATAAATGTAATTTTGCTTAAGAAAAAGTTGGAGAGAGAAGAGCAGGGGAAGTGGAGGCAGGGAGCCTGAGCACATTTGTAGAAAGATGAAAAGGGGCAAGTGACAAGGGAGGGATCAAAGATGCAAGAGAAAGGGAGATTCCTCTTGCAGCAAGGTCTTGGAGAAAGGTGGGAGAGAAATGGGATTAAGGGCATGGGAAGAAGGCTTAGCCTTAGGTCACTATTGCATGTCACCAGTATTCTCTAAAGTAGAAGGCTATGTCATCTGCTGTCAGTCAGCAGAAGGTTGGGTATTTGAGGGTTGGAAGAGAAAGGAAAAGGTTTGAAACAATGGGATCTTGCAGGCAATTGGTAAGGAATGCAGTAACAGGATTGTCGGGCTGTGTCCACAGCCAAACCAAGGTTATGCATCATAAATTTCGATTAAGTTAAATCAGCTTTAGACAGAGCAGGGGTTTCTGTCTTGGTTCTGCTCTGTTGCTTCTCCCAGGGCTAGGGGTGGGGTGTGATGCTGTGGGACTGGCAGCTACCTTGTAATTATCTAGCGTTACTGCCTGTGTTGGGCTGGGCCTTTCCAAGCCATACTCACGTTTGCTTGTCTCTTCCAGCGGATGATAATGCCACCATCCGAGTCACTAACCTGTCAGAAGACACTCGAGAGACTGACTTGCAGGAGCTGTTTCGACCATTTGGTTCCATCTCTAGAATCTACCTGGCCAAGGACAAGACCACTGGCCAGTCCAAGGTAGGACCACTGACTGGGTATGTAAGAGGTATTTTCTGGGTGAAGGGAATGATAAGGGGATGGGATGACTAACCTATAACATGGAGATTGTGTTCTGGATGGAGGGAAAGCTAATTCATCCTTAATGCCTTCCCCAGGGCTTTGCCTTCATTAGCTTCCACCGGAGAGAGGATGCTGCTCGTGCCATTGCTGGTGTGTCAGGATTTGGCTATGACCATCTCATTCTTAATGTGGAATGGGCCAAGTAAGTTTCTACCATTACCCATCATCCATCTCTGGCCAGGATCCCTGGGCCTGAACCTAACTTTGGAGCTGGGCCCGGCATCCTCGATACTCTCATGAATGATTTCTGGGTTGTATTCCCCCTTATTAAGAAGTCCTAACTGTCTCTTTCCCATTTCTGCAGACCTTCCACCAACTAAGGTTGCTATGTCCACTTACTACCCAGTTGCCTGGATTGGAAAAGGATGGGACTCTGAGGAAGGGGGCTGGAATGGAAGCCCCTTACTGGCCAAGGGCAATAAATATTCACACCTGCCCCCATGTCTCTTTTTTTTTTTTAATTCTTCTAAGTCTCAGGAACACATCTCAGACCAGCAGAGAGCCACGTGGTGCCTGTGGCTATCCACGATTGACCCAGCCTCTTCCTTGGCCCCGACTCTGGCTGAGAGCGCTCACCAGGTGGCGCCTTCCCTCCCTTCTTGGGACTCTCAATACAGGCTCCCTACCCACAGCTCCCACCCTCATCCTGCTTTAGGGCACAAGTGACTTTCTTGCTCTGTTAAGTCATTCAGAAGCCTTTTTTATTCAGTGCCTGTTTTGTTTCATTTTTCTCTTTAACAATTTTATTTACATCAATCACTTCTTCATGAAGTGGTCGTTTCACTTCACTCTCCCCATATTAGAATCCTCCCTCATTACAGAGAAGTGCTAACAAAAACAAGTTGGTCCATGTCTGAAAACATGTTTTGTTCCATGCCTGTTGTCCACCTTGGCCAAGAGGAGGGAGGGAAGCGTGGTTCACCATCAGATCCACTGAGAGTGGATGGACAGACACATTGGTATCAATCAGGAAGATTTCCCTTAATGTTATCGAAATAATTTTGTCAGTTATCCTGATTTTGCTTCCTTTGCATCAGTCATATCTAGCTCTGTGATTTAATGCCGCGTGACCATCGACAAGTCACTTAATCTATAGGTCTCAGGGTTAGCCTCTGTGAAAGGAGAAGTTGGGGAGGGAGGGTGAGACTTCTGGCATCCCTGCCAGCTCCATGTCTATGGTCTTAGGAAACAGTCTTCCCATATTTCTCTGATTTCTTCATGTTTGTCACTTGTTACAGATTGCATTATATCCACGTCCTGCGATTTGTTCATTCCCTAGTTAATGGTATCAACTTTCTTTTTAGTTCTTTGTGACTACAAAAAGTACTGTTATAAATATTTTTGCAAAAATGTGAGCTTTCCCATTGTTTTTGACCACATAATTATTTTTAGAATACTATTTGTGGCTCAGGATTCAAAGATGAGTTGACAGCCCTCACCATCTGGGGACTTATAGATTGAGAGGTGGAATAGAACCTGTGCAGGAAGGCATATGCAAGGTCTGGGCAAAGGAGAAATGTTAAAGGAAAATTTGAAAATATTTTCAGCTTGGGCTTGGGGGGTGTTGGGGATTAATTGCTGTGTGAATCTGGCATCTGAGCTGAGCCATGAAGGAAGCTAAGGCTTTGGATTCATGGATAAGTGCGTGTATTATAAGCCCAACAAACGTGTGTAGGGGGTGGAGTAGGAGATGCCTTCCACTGCAAGGAACCCTTAGCAATCCAGTTTGGATGGAACTAGAAGGTTTGGAGTAGGGGGAGTTCAGAGCAGGAAAGTTTTGGAGCTTTCCAAAGGAGTTTGTATCTTATTTTAGAGGCGATAGGCTCTGAAGTTTTTGACTAGGGGAATGCTAGCACTGTGTTGGCAAGATGCTTAGGATGGATTGGAAAAGAGAGCCAGGTCTGGGGGACTAGTTAGCAAGGAGCAAGGGAATAGGAGAGTCAAAGGCCACTTGAGGTTTCTAACTTTGGTCACTTAATTCTTGCATCGGTCTGGCACAGTGGTTTGACGGAGAAGAGGCAGGAACACAAGGTCCTTTCTTGCCCTCCATCCCTGTCACCCCCCACCCTTGCTCACTAAGTCATAGGCTCAATGCTGGTCTCAGACAATTAAGTGTCCTAATAAAGCCCCGTTTGACATGCTGCTTTGCGTCCTGTTAGTGGTCAAGGTTGAGTGGGACTTATCTGCCTCAGGGATATTTCCCCACCCATAGTTCTCCCACATAGTCTTGGGCATCGGAGGCTTGAGGCCACGGCTGTATAGAGCAGTGGGTGGAAGCACATGGCCAGAGGCACGAGCCCTCTGCTTGCCTGGTAGGCTAGGTATAGACCAAGGTCCAGAGCAGCCACAGCCTGTGACTCGTTTGAGAAGCTGCTGCAGCGGTCCAGCCAGCGCTGGCGGGCCTGGACATTAAGGACATGCATGATGTGGTATGGGATGTAGGACATGGCATAGAGGACTACCCCACCACCCACCAGCACTCCCACCTTGAGCTTCTCTGGCCTTGTTATATTAGGGTTGGTCAGGATGGCCTGGCTGATGGCACTGTAGGCCAGGAGAGTGAGCAGGAAGGGCAGACCGCAGCCCAGCAGCGCCAGCACCAGGCTGTAGACCCAGTAGTCTGGCAGATGGTCATCTCCAGCTGTTCCCAGGCATTTAGTACAGCCCTCAGGCTGATTCACATGGCAATGTGCCCCTGTGCCATTTTGGGGGAAGACAAGGTGGGAGAACTTGAAGGTAGGTGCTGCCAGGGCAGCCACAAGACCCCAGCCAGCCAGGCTGATGGCCCAGGCATGCTTGGGTCGCACATGGCCATGGGCAAAGAAAGGGTGCACGATGCCCAGGTAGCGATTGAGGCTTATGCAAGTGATGAAGAAAATGCTGCTGTAAAGGTTACAGTTGAAGAGGAAGCGCTCGAACAGACATGCAGCTGCCCCAAAGCTCCAGTGTTTGGGCGGATAGAAGTAAAAAACCAGGGGAGGCAGGGAGAAGGCATAGAACAGGTCGCTGACAGCCAGCTGGGCTGAGAAGATGATGGCTGGATGCCACGGGCGCTGCTCCTGGGTACTGAAGCGGTAGAGGACCAGGCCATTGCCCCCCACGGCCACGAGGAACTCGACCATTAGCACGGGCCACAGGTATTCCTCCTGGTACTGGCTCAGGGTTTTGCTAGCTCTCACCAACATCCCGGGCAAGCAGGTGCTGTTAGGTGCTTGGGTCATGGTGCCTGGGGGAAGGGGAGGCAGGCCTGAATGGGCAGCTTCCTTCCCCAATTCCAGAGGGTGGTACCCACCCACATGACCTCAAGAAGGGGTCTTGGAAGTCAGTATGAAGTAGTGAAGAAGGTTGCACGTAGGAGTCAAGATGACTTAAATTTTGACTCAAACTAACTGAATTTGTTTGAATAAAGTTTGAATTGACTCCAATTGTGGGACCCTGGGCCTCAATTTGCTCATCTGTAAAATGGGGATTCTGGATAGGCTGGTCTGCCAAGATGCCTTCCAGCTCATTATTTACTTCAGCCCCTTCATGTCACAGAGCAGACCCAGAATCTGCTTTCTACCAGTTACTCTGGCACATACAGAGATTTCTGCCCCATACCCTGCCCCCACCTTCCCTGCTCTGCCCCATGTATTCTAGTTGGCAGTGGAGCCTGAACCCCATCTGCCTAGGGAGAAAGTACCTGTGCTTTAGTAGGAGCAGAATCACTGCTCTTGAGTAGAAATGACATGAGGCAACCCTACCCCCCACCCCAATCCACCTTTTCAGTTCCCAGTTCCCCTTCACCTGGCCTGGCCTTGCTCCTGGTGGTAACAGCTAGCTCTCCTCTGCTGCCTCAATCTCAGCTCCCAGGTTCTGCTCCCGCCTCTCGGTCAGACGGCCTTATTCCTCGCCCCCACCCCGGTAGCTAGCCCCTCCCTGAGCATACTTCCTTCCTCATTCTCACACCCCCACCCCATAGTCCAACCAGAATCCTCAGGCAGACAGCAAAACCAGACTGTCTAGCTCCTCCCGCCTACCAGAAATAACGCCCAAATGCAGCAACTGTGGACTCCATTTGCTTCTTTATTGGGGATGTAAAAGCACAAGCCATTACTTTTTATCATTACTTTTTATCCAGACTCCATGCCAGCCAAGACCACCTTCTGAGCCCTAACATTTTCCAGGCAAGAGGCTGGGTAAGTGGGAACTGTCCAGGATTCTCCAACTCGCCCTGCCCTCACTGGTTCACAACTTTATCAGACAAAGCCCACTTTCCTTTAGTTGTTCAGTGTCCTTTGGGACATGAGCCAGGCTAGCAAATACTTGCTCCCAGAATAGCTCCGGGGGGTTCCACACTGCAAACGGGGCTATCTCTCACTCAAGTGGCTTCATCCCTGGAGGCCCCAACTCTTTGAATTGCTCCCCACCCCCAAAACAGATCAGTAACTAGGATACAATCTGTGTCATGTTTCATGACAATCCTGAGTAAGGTGACTACCCTCCCCCACAAGCAAGACCAGACCGGAAACCAGACCTTACTTCACGGACACCCCCCATTCCCCTTCCTACCAGTCAAGGAGGCCTCACAGACTATATTTAGCGAAGGAAATGGTTTTCTTATCCTTAGAAACCACAAGGTTCAATGTATTTATTCCCTCCCCAGAAGAGAGAAATGGGCAATCAGTCCACCCTTCAGCTGAATCTCAGGTTCGTGCTGCTGCTGCTGCTGCTGCGGACTTGTGGTGAGGCCTCCTAGAGGCCAAAGCTCTTCCCAGGGCTTGACTACGAGAGAAGTGGCGAGCTGTGGCTCCTTTGGGTCGTCTGCCTTTGGCTGCTCGGAACCTCCCCTTTGGATGCCGACCTCTGCCGTTCTGTGGTCTCTGGTCACCAGAGACCGGCTGTCCAGGGGACCTGTTAGGTCGTCTCCTCTTCACCTTTGGGAACATGTCTGGAGAGGAGAACCATCAGCAGGGTGGGGACAGGAGGCCTACAGGTACAGAGTAGTACCACCCAAGATCACCCCTCTCCAACTCACCCTCATCTGGCTCTTCACCAACTGCTTGGCGAAAATACTCTGCCTCATCCTCTTCCTCGTCAGACACGTGGGCTCCGCCATCAGGCTGCCCAGGGTCCTCTGCCTCGCTGTCCCCGTTCCCCTGGTCCACACTTGGGGCCTCTGCACGCTGCATACCCTCCAGGCTCCGTTTCCTAGCAGGGAAGAATCAAGCTTGTGACTCAGGCCTTCTGCCTCAGGATGCCCTTTCGTCCAGTGTCTACTCCCTTCACCCCCACTAACCTGTGGGCCTCCCGCTGCTCCTCCTTCCGCTTGATGTCCTGCTCCTGCCTGCCCCGGCGCTCAGCCTTCAGCAGGAGTTTCTGCTGTCTGGTGGCCAGCGTGGCCTTCAGCTCCTCCTCAGACTTGTGCACTGCAGGGAGGGAACGTGAGGAGGCCCCCTCTGAGCACTGCTGCTCCCCACGGCTGTGAGGGAGGATGTTTCTGTCCCCACCCCAATGCCGCCCTTCCCTTCCCCGTCCCACCTAAGCCGTGGTAGAGGACGCTTCCATCCCCGAGGCCCTCCTGGATCTTGATGAGCTGCATGGTTATCCTGGGGCCAATCTGGTGGGGTGGAAGAGATCATGGGGGTCTGTGCAGCGAGCAGGGCCAGAGGCATCTCACATCAGTGGCGGCCCTCGCTGGCTGGACTCGTCCCCTCCCCAGCTCTCACCTCAGTAAGCCGCACCGCACTCTGCTCCGCCTTCATGTTGCCGCGGCCAGCATAGGCTTGGGGCAGCTCGGTCACGTTGTGCTCCCCATCTGGCTCTGCCTCACTCTCTGACAGCCCCGCACCCCTGGGGAGACATGGGAATGGGCTCGGCTCACGGCAGTGAGGGCCCGAGATGGCGGCCCCCCCAGCCCCCCAGCCCAGCTCACGTGGCAAGCAGCTCACTGACATCCTCCAAGCGGCTCATGTCGGGGAACTTCTCTTGCAGAAGCTTCTTCATGCCCCGACTGGCACCCACAGGAACCACCTTCAGGCTGCTGCAGGGGTTGAAGGGTTATGGAGGCCCCCAGGGCCTTCCCTCCCTCCTCCTCCTCTTCCTCACCCTGGGGCTCAGAGCGTTTACTTGGACACAATCACAACGTCTCAGCAGAGATTTGATCATCATGGCTATCCAGGGCTCAGGGCTGTACACGTGCACGCCCTAGACACAAGCCTATGCACAGGAACCCAGGCATACACTCACATACTCACTAGTGTCGGAACTGGAGCTCCTGGGAGTCGGGGTCATAGCTGAGGAGAAGGCAACGCTTCACACAGTTCAGGTTCACCTGGCAGGGAGAAAGGAGCACTGGAGAGGCCCACGCCATGATTCTAGCAGCTGCAGCTTTAAGGTAACATTTATGTATACTACCTGACAGGTAAGATGCACTGACATACTATTACATACGTTATCAAATATACGAATGTTTTTATTTGCTGACACAACCAACCTTATGGTCAGCACTGTCAATGCTGTCCTCATTTTATTGATAAATAAACTAGCTGAGACAGGTTTGTCAGTCAACTAGTGCCTGAAACAGGATGTGAACTCAGGTCTTCCTGACTCCAAGTCCAGCTTCCTCTAAAGGCAGCATGCTTTTTTCAAGGACTCCAATGGGTCTAACCTTGTGCACGTTGATGGATGGAAACATGTTCTGGAACACAGAGGCAGTGAGCTTCACGTGAAGTCCATGGGGGCCAAAGCCGTTGAGTACCAAGAGTGGCGGGTGTGAGAACTGCTGCTCGTGCATCCGGTGACGGCGCAGGGAGGAGACAACGTCCCGCACCAAGGAGTACTAGAGGTGGAGGGGGCAGGCTGACCTCGGCTGCCGAGCCCTCAGCCTCCCCGCCGCACCACTTTGCTACTTGACCCCTCACCTTGGTGACTCGGAAGGTCAAAGTAGGGCCCCCAGGAAGACGGATCAGCCTCTGAAGGAGAAAAGGGGCCGGATCACAACTTGTGAAAAGTAGAGTAGCCAGGGCCTTTACTGGGTGAACCAAATGTATCCCCTGGCTATGGGGGAATATAGGAAGGGATTAGCAGGGGACAGGGAAGCTCAAGCTCTTTTCTGGGAGCAGGGGAAATAGAAGGGATCCTGGCTATATGGGAAGGAGGCATCACTCACAAATGTCACATTCTTTTCTGTTTTGCTGAAGATGAGGAAGTGAGAGACGCCAAGAGGGCCAGCCACAGCCACACAATCCTTAAGGGAATTCCGCCGGCGAACCTACAGTGGTGTGTAAAGTACAGAGTAGGAGTGACGTCAGAATTTGAAACGGGGGGGGGGGTCCTCCTATAGGACAAGTTATGAAAGATTAGAAGAAAAGGTTTGGGAGTCAATATCTTGAGCAAGTTCTAGGGAATTTAGTTGGGAGACCCAGGCATAATAAATTTCTGGGTGATGACTTATGATACAATTAAATAAATTTGCCTTGAGACTTATTAATCTGATTATGGTATGTGTATGTGGGGTAGTTAAAAATGCAAAAGCCAGAAAACCACTCAAATACACCTGTAATTCAGACAGATATCTGAAGATGGGGGAGATGCCATTTGCTAGAAAAGGGATTCCAATAAAAGCCATGGCCTCAAATATACAAAGTCAGAGTTAACAAACAGGTGAACTAAAGACTTCAGGGAACACCAAGTCTAATACCTTACTTTACAGATAAGGAAACCATGGCTCAGGAAGTGATTTGCCCAGTCATACAGCCAGTAAATGTCAGAAGTGGTACTTGAACTCAGGTCCTCTTAATGGAAGTAGTTAAATTTGGCTTCATAAGTATTCTCACAGTTGGTGGGAATGGGATCATGGAAGAAAAAAAGGAACAGATATGAGGGTTGTGACAGCAGAGTTTCCTATAGAAACCAACGTGGGAAAACGGAGAAACCCAAGGGTTCGGTGCCCAGTGGGGAGCCTGGTAATAAAATTCTGAAAAATTGGGCTGGCTGATCCTAGGCCCTTATCCAAAGCCCTTCCATCCTAGAAAGTGCTCAGAGCTTTCACTCCCCCTTTCAATCTGTCACCTCCACACCAAGAGGCATGAGACGCAGCAACATAGAAATAGGAGAGAATACACAAACCAGAGGGGGGAAGCATGTGTATATAGCATGTGGATGAGGCTTAATAGGATAAGAAACAAGTGATATTGCTAATTACTTGCCTTACAGATAACTTTATTCTTCAATTCTGGAGAAATCCAGAAGGGGAACTGCTATTCTAGACCTAATTCTGATCCAGAAGCAGGAGCTAGTTGGCAAAGTATGAATATTCCACCACATTTTATAATACATAAGGTATATAAGCCCATGTCACCATGGGCAAATCACAACTTTTAGGTGTCCCAGGCAACCCTCTAAGACTAGAAGACAGAGAAGAATTGCAGATTTGTATGTAGGAGGTTTCTAAGGTCCTCCTATAACTCTCTATGATCCAAAAGCAAGGAAATTACAGGTCAAAATGAAAAAAAAGAATCCAGGAACAACACTGATATTTACCCTGGAATCACAGAATCTCTGAGCTGTAATGTAAAGCCATCTACTCCAAATCATACCCAATCTCCCCCCAACCCCTATCCAATCATAGTATTAAAGCAGGAAGGGATCTTGAAGACCCCTCATCTCACAGAAAGAAAACAAGGCACAGTGAGATTAAGTGACTTGTCCAAGGTCGCACAGACACATGGAGATGGGGCTTCAAAGCCTCCTTCTCTGGTTCGTGATGCTATAAATTAGGCTAGGGGAAAGTGGTGGTGGTGGGGGCGTTCTGCTTGGCCCTAGGCCCAGCGGGAGGCCCGGGAACACCCGGCTGGATTTGCAGAGGTGCCTGCAGGTTTGATGTCAGGGACCCCGGGGTTCCCCCCACTCCCCACGCTGGGGGTCACGATCATGAACAAGGCCGGGCAGCACAGGGCCAGCTCCC